TGATCGCGACGCTCTCGGAAGTTTCGATGTTCCGCGCATGTACACCTTCGCGAAGGGCCTTTCCCCAGAAGCCGCCCGATTTCGTATTTTCCGAAGATTACGCTCCTGGCGCCCGCGGCGTGGTGGTTTTCCGGCTGCTCTTCCATTTATATATGAATTGGATTGGTGGGTATATATATATATATATATATATATATATATATGGTTTTGGGAGTAATTAACCAATCGATTTTTGAGGGTTTTGGAAGATTATGGAAAATTAGTTACTCCACTGCATTGGCGGTTGTTTGAGGCTGGCGGCGGCGGCGGAATTTAGTAGCCGTTTTGAGAGGAGATTTTTGTGATTATGTGACAGGATTTTGGTGGTGGTCTAGAAAATATAGTGAGTTAGTGTGTGTGTGTGAGAGAGAGATTTATAATGTCAACTTGTGATTGGTGAACATAGTTTTTGTGTAATCAGGGAGCCAATTGTAAGAAATAAATATCTGGGAATTTAATATTCAGAATTTTTTTGTTAATGCAATGCAATTATCAAAGTGGGACACGTTAAATATATATTAATATCCTACGGCCCTAAATGCACCAAATTATTAATATATATATTTTAATAATCTGGAGTGATAATATTTATTAATAATATAATGGGAGTACCAATTTGGTGGGGTTAATATTAATAATAATTAAGCAAAATACTTTGTCAGTAAACTAAGCTACATATGTTAATCTATATCTATATAATATATAAAAGTTGAATTGCATAGCTAATTGATTGACATTTGTCAATTTCAATTGATGACATGTCCTCAATTTCATCCCAAGTGGCGAATTGATTGGTGGAAATAAATCATCAAAAAACATGTCATCATTTTCCAAAATTAAAGGTAATTAAATATATTTAATTATTTTATTAATATATTTATATCCTACCATTTATAAAATGCTCTAAATATATCAACTTTCTTAGAAACCCTAAATAAATTTATTTTTTAATTTAATTTTATAATTAATTTAATTTGAATTTATTTAAATTCGATTTAAAATCTTCCCTTATTATAATTGCATAATTGGTGGTGTTACGAATTTTTTTAATTTTAATTCATAAACTTGAATTTATTAACAAAAAATATTGGAGAATAAATTATTTGATATTATACATTTTAAATGAACATGACTAGAGAATATGTAATTTTTTACTAATTTAATATTATATATTAATATTATCTGTAAAAAAGAAAGATACATGTTTAAATTTACTATCTTGCGAAAATTGACACTATTTGTTATGCCATGTGTAGAGTAATGTACTCCCAATTATTTACCATATTGAAAATTATACTACATGAATTTAATGTTATTATTTAAATAA